GTCTCTAGTGTCTCCTGTGTCTTCAGTGTCTCTGTGTCTCATGTGTCTGTGTCTCAGTGTCTCTGTCTCAGTGTCTCAGTGTCTCTGTGTCTTAGTGTCTCAGTGTCTCTGTGTCTCTGTGTCTCAGTGTCTCTGTCTCAGTGTCTCAGTGTCTCTGTGTCTCAGTGTCTCTGTGTCTTAGTGTCTCAGTGTCTCAGTGTGTCTCAGTGTCTCTGTGTCTCAGTGTCTCAGTGTCTCAGTGTCTCTGTGTCTCAGTGTCTCTGTGTCTCAGTGTCTCTGTGTCTCAGTGTCTCTGTGTCTCAGTGTCTCAGTGTCTCAGTGTCTCTGTGTCTCTGTGTCTCAGTGTCTCAGTGTCTCAGTGTCTCTCAGTGTCTCAGTGTCTCTGTGTCTTAGTGTCTCTGTGTCTCAGTGTCTCAGTGTCTCAGTGTCTCAGTGTCTCAGTGTCTCAGTGTCTCAGTGTCTCTGTGTCTCAGTGTCTCTCAGTGTCTCAGTGTCTCTGTGTCTTAGTGTCTCTGTGTCTCTGTGTCTCAGTGTCTCTGTCTCAGTGTCTCTGTGTCTCTGTGTCTCTGTGTCTCTGTGTCTCTCAGTGTCTCAGTGTCTCTGTGTCTCTGTGTCTCAGTGTCTCTCAGTGTCTCAGTGTCTCTCAGTGTCTCAGTGTCTCTGTGTCTCAGTGTCTCTGTGTCTCTGTCTCAGTGTCTCTGTGTGTCTCAGTGTCTCTGTGTGTCTCAGTGTCTCTGTGTCTCTGTGTCTCAGTGTCTCTGTGTGTCTCAGTGTCTCTCAGTGTCTCTGTCTCAGTGTCTCTGTGTCTCAGTGTCTCTCAGTGTCTCAGTGTCTCTCAGTGTCTCTGTCTCAGTGTCTCTGTGTGTCTCAGTGTCTTAGTGTCTCTGTGTCTCAGTGTCTCTCAGTGTCTCAGTGTCTCAGTGTCTCTGTGTCTCAGTGTCTCTGTGTCTCTCAGTGTCTCAGTGTCTCTCAGTGTCTCTCAGTGTCCACTTTCACTCTGTGTCTCAGTGTCTCTCAGTGTCTCTCAGTGTCTCAGTGTCTCTCAGTGTCTCTCAGTGTCTCAGTGTCTCAGTGTCTCTCAGTGTCTCAGTGTCTCAGTGTCTCAGTGTCTCTCAGTGTCTCAGTGTCTCTCAGTGTCTCTCAGTGTCTCAGTGTCTCTGTGTCTCAGTGTCTCTCAGTGTCTCAGTGTCTCAGTGTCTCTCAGTGTCTCTGTGTGTGTCTCGATGTGTCTCCCTGTGTGTGTCTCCCTGTATGTGTGTCTCAGTGTCTCCATGTTTCTCTATGTGTCTCTCTCTGTGTGTCTCTCTCTGTCTCTGTGTGTCTCTGTGTCTCTCTGTGTGTCTCTGTGTCTCTCTGTGTCTCTGTGTGTCTCTGTGTGTGTCTCCATGTGTCTCTGTGTGTGTCTCTGTGTGTCTCTGTGTGTGTCTCTGTGTGTCTCTCTCTGTGTCTCTGTGTGTGTCTCTGTGTGTCTGTGTCTCTCTGTGTGTCTCTGTGTGTGTCTCCCTGTGAATCCGTGTCTGAATGTGTCTCTGTGTGTGTCTCTGTGTGTCTCTGTGTTTCTGTGTGTGTCTCTGTGTCTCCCTGTGTCTCAGTGTCTCCACGTGTCTCTGTGTATCTGTGTGTGTCTCTGTGTGTGTCTCTGTGTGTGTCTCTGTGTGTGTCTCTGTGTGTCTTCCTGTGTGTGTCTCTGTGTGTCTCTCTGTGTGCCTCTCTCTGTGTCTCTCTCCATGTGTCTCTGTGTGTCTCTGTGTGTGTCTCTGTGTGTGTCTCCCTGTGTCTCAGTGTCTCCATGTGTCTCTGTTTGTGTCTCTGTGTCTCTCTGTGTCTCTGTGTGTCTCTGTGTGTCTCTCTCTGTGTCTCTATGTGTGTCTCTGTGTCTCTCTGTGTCTCTCTGTGTCTCTGTGTCTCCATGTGTCTCCGTGTGTCTCTCTGTGTGTCTCCATGTGTCTGCCTGTGTGTGTCTCAGTGTCTCCACGTGTCTCTGTGTGTGTCTCCCTGTGTGTCTCTCTGTGTGTCTCTCTGTGTGTCTCTCTGTGTGTCTCTCTGTGTGTCTCCACGTGTCTCTGTGTGTGTCTCTCTGTGTGTGTATCTCTGTGTGTCTCTCTGTGTGTCTCCATGTGTCTCTGTGTGTGTCTCTGTGTCTCTCCGTGTCTCGGTGTGTGTCTCCCTGTGTCTCCATGTGTCTCTGTGTTTCTGTGTGTCTCTGTGTGTCTGTGTGTGTCTCTGTGTGTCTGTGTGTGTCTCTGTGTGTCTCTGTGTGCCTGTGTGTGTGTTTCTGCGTGTCTCTCTCTGTGTCTATCTGTGTGTCTCTGTGTCTCTGTGTGTGTCTCCGTGTGTCTCTGTGTGTGTCTCTGTTTGTGTCTCTGTGTGTGTCTCTGTGTGTCTCTGTGTCTCCACGTGTCTCTGTGTCTCTCTGTGTCTCTGTGTGTGTCTCCCTGTGTGTCTCCACGTGTCTATGTGTGTGTCTCCCTGTGTCTCCCTGTGTCTCCACGTGTCTCTGTGTCTCTCTGTGTCTCTGTGTGTGTCTCCGTGTGTGTCTCCACGTGTCTCTGTGTGTGTCTCTGTGTGTCTCTCTCTGTGTCTATCTGTGTGTCTCTGTCTCTCTGTGTGTGTCTCCGTGTGTCTCTGTGAGTGTCTCTGTTTGTGTCTCTGTGTGTGTCTCTGTGTGTCTCTGTGTCTCCACGTGTCTCTGTGTCTCTCTGTGTCTCTGTGTGTGTCTCCGTGTGTGTCTCCACGTGTCTCTGTGTGTGTCTCCCTGTGTCTCCCTGTGTCTCCACGTGTCTCTGTGTCTCTCTGTTTCTCTGTGTGTGTCTCCCTGTGTCTCCACGTGTCTCTGTGTGTCTCCCTGTGTCTCCCTGTGTCTCCACGTGTCTCTGTGTGTCTCTGTGTGTGTCTCTCTGTGTGTGCCTCTGTGTGTGTGTCTCTCTGTGTCTCTGTGTGTCTCCCTGTGTCTCAATGTGTCTCCACGTGTCTCTGTGTGTGTTTCTCTGTGTGTGTCTCCATGTGTCTCTGTGTGTGTCTCCCTGTGTCTCCATGTGTCTCCACGTGTCTCCCTGTGTGTCTCTGTGTGTGTCTCTCTGTGTGTGCCTCTGTGTGTGTCTCTCTGTGTGTGCCTCTGTGTCTCTGTGTGTCTCCCTGTGTCTCCATGTGTCTCCACGTGTCTCTGTGTGTGTCTCTCTGTGTGTGTTTCTGTGTCTCTGTGTGTGTCTCTGTGTCTCCATGTGTCTCCACGTGTCTCTGTGTGTGTCTCTCTGTGTGTGTCTCTGTGTTTCTGTGTGTGTCTCTGTGTCTCCATGTGTCTCCACGTGTCTCTGTGTGTGTCTCTCTGTGTGTGTCTCTGTGTCTCTGTGTGTGTCTCTGTGTCTCCATGTGTCTCCACGTGTCTCCATGTGTCTCTGTGTGTCTCCCTGTGTCTCCCTGTGTCTCCACGTGTCTCCGTGTGTCTCTGTGTGTGTCTCCCTGTGTCTCCCTGTGTCTCCACGTGTCCCTGTGTGTCTCTGTCTGTGCGAGAGAGCAGCGTTTGGCTGCGGGGAGAATCTCTTCCTGTCGTCAGCGCCCTTCACGTGGGAGCACGCCATCCGCGACTGGTTCAACGAGGTCGACAGCCCGGGCTTCGACTACGGGAAGGGAGCACGAACACCGGGAGCCGTGGGACACTACACACAGGTGGGGTAGAGGGGGAGACTCACACACACACACAGACACACTTACACACACTCACTTACACACACTCACACAGACACACTCACACACTCACTTACACACTTACACACACTCACACAGACACACTCACTCACTTACACACTCACACTCATTCACACTCACACAGACACACTTACACACTCACACACTCATTCACACACTCACTCACTTACACACTCACACACTCACACTCACTCACTTACACACTTACACACTCATTCACACTCACTCAGACACTTACACACTCACACTCACACACTTACACACACTCACTCACTTACACACTCACACTCACACACAGACACACTTACACACTCACACTTACACACTCACACACTCACTCACTTACACACTCACACTCACAGACACAGGTGGGGTAGAGGGGGAGACTCACACTCACTCACTTACACACTGACACTCACACTCACACACTTACACACACTCAAACAGACACTCACACACACACACTCACTTACACACACTCACACACTCACAGACACTCACACAGACACACTCACACACACACTTACACACACACTCACTCATTCATACACACACAGACACAGGTGGGGTAGAGGGGGAGACTCACACTCACTCACTTACACACTTACACTCACTCACTTACACACTTACACACACACACTCACACACTTACACACTTACACTCACACTCACTCACTTACACACACACTCACTTACACACACTCACACACTCACTAACTCACTCACTTACACACTCACACTCACACACTCACTCACTTACACACTCACACTCACTCACTTACACACACACTCACTTACACACACTCACACACTCACTAACTCACTCACTTACACACTCACACTCACTCACTTACACACTCACACACACTCACTTACACACACTCACACACTCACACTCACTCACTTACACACACTCACACACTCACACACACAGACACACTTACACACTTACACTCACACACTTACACACACTCACACAGACACTTACACACTCACACTCACACACTTACACACACTCACACAGACACTTACACACTTACACACTCATTCACACTCACACACTCACACTCATTCACACTCACACACACTCACACACTCACACTCACTCACTTACACACTTACACACTCACTCACACACTCACACACACACACTCATTCACACACTCACTCACTTACACACTTACACACTCATTCACCCTCACACACTCACACACACACACTCATTCACACACTCACTCACTTACACACTTACACACTCACACACACACACTCACACACAGACACACTTACACACACTCACACACACAGACACACTCTCACACTCACACACACACACTCACACACACAGACACACTCACACACACACACACTCACTCATTCACACACTCACACATTCACACACACTTACACACACACTCACTCATTCACACTCACACACTCACACTCATTCACACTCACACACAATCACACTCACTCACTCACTTACACTCACACACTTACACACTCACTCACACACTTACACACACTTACACACTTACACACACTTACACACTCACTCACACACACTCACTCACACACACTCACTCACACACTCATTCATTCACTCACACACTCAGACACTCACTCACTCACACACTCACTCACACACTCACACACCCACTCACTCACACACTCACTCACACACTCACCCATTCACTCACCCATTCACTCACCCATTCACACACCCATTCACACACTCACCCATTCACTCACTCACCCATTCACTCACTCACCCACTCACTCACACACTCACTCACACATTAACTCACACACTCACTCAAACACTCAGACACTCACACACACACTCACTCACACACTCACTCACTCACACACTCACTCACTCACTCAGACACTCACCCATTCACTCACCCATTCACTCACCCATTCACACACCCATTCACACACTCACCCATTCACTCACTCACCCATTCACTCACTCACTCACACACTCACTCACAGACTCACTCACTCACTCAGTCACTCACCCATTCACTCACCCATTCACTCACCCCTTCACACACCCATTCACACACTCACCCATTCACTCACTCACTCACACACTCACTCACTCACTCAGACACTCATCTATTCACTCACCCATTCACTCACCCATTCACACACCCATTCATACACTCACCCACCCACACACTCACTCACTCACCCACCTACTCACTCACACACTCACTCACCCACTCACTCACTCACACACTCACACACTCACTCACCCACTCACTCACTCACACACTCACTCACACACTCATTCACTCACCCACTCACTCACTCACACACTCACTCACCCACTCACTCACTCACTCAGACACTCACCCACATACTCACCCACCCACTCACCCACTCACTCACACACTCACTCACACATTCACTAACCCACTCACTCACTCAGCCATTCACTCACTCACCCATTCACTCACTCACCCACACACTCACTCACCCACACACTCACCCACTCACTCACTCACCCACACACACACCCACACACTCACTCACACACTCACTCACTCACCCACTCACCCATTCACTCACCCACCCACTCACCCACTCACTCACCCACTCACTCACCCATTCACTGACCCACTCACTCACCCATTCACTCACTCACCCACTCACCCACCCATTCACCCACTCACCCATTCACTCACTCACCCACTCACTCACCCACTCACCCATTCACTCACCCATTCACTCACTCACCCACTAACTCACACACTCACTCACTCACCCAGCCACTCACCCACTCACCCACTCACATACTCACACACTCACCCATTCACTCACTCACCCATTCACTCACTCACCCATTCACTCACTCACTCACACACCCACTCACCCACCCATCCACCCACTCACCCATTCACTCACCCATTCACTCACCCACTCACTCACCCACTCACCCACCCACAAACCCACCCACCCACTCACCCACCCACTCACTCACCCGCCCACCCTCACCCAATCTCTCACCCACTTACTCACTCACCCACTCACTCACTCACCCACTCACCCACTCACCCACTCACTCACCCACTCACTCACACACTCACTCACTCACTCACCCACCCACCCACTCACCCACCCACCCACCCACTCACCCACCCACTCACCCGCCCACCCTCACCCACTCTTTCACCCACTTACTCACTCACCCACTCACTCACCCACACACTCACCCACCCACTCACCCACCCACTCACTCACCCATTCACTCACCCACTCACTCACACACTCACCCACCCACCGACCCACTCACTCACCTACCCACCCACTCACTCACCCACCCACACACTCACCAACCCACTCACCCACCCACTCACCCACCTACCCACACACTCACCCACCCACTCACCCACCCACCCACCCACCCATTCACTCACCCACCCACCCACCCACTCACCCACCCACCCACTCACTCACCCACTCACTCACTCACCCACTCACTCACCCACCCACCCACCCACCCACTCACCCACCCACTCACTCACCCACTCACCCACCCACTCACCCACCCACTCACCCACCCACTCACCCACCCACCCACCTACTCACCCACCCACCCACTCACCCACCCAATCACCCACCCAATCACCCACCCACCCACTCACCTACCCACCCACCCACTCACCCACCCAATCACCCACCCACTCACCCACCCACCCACCCACTCACCCACCCACTCACCCACTCACCCACCCACTCACCCACCCACCCACCCACTCACCCACCCACTCACCCACTCACCCACCCACTCACCCACTCACCCACCCACTCACCCACCCACCCACCTACCCACCCACCCACCCACTCACCCACTTACTCTCTCACCCACTCCCCCACCCACTCACCTCTAGGTGGTGTGGTACAGCTCCTACCAAGTTGGATGTGCAGTGACGTACTGCCCAAACTCCGAGTCGGTCTACAAGTATCTCTACGTCTGCCAGTACTGCCCGCAGTGAGTCCCTCCCTCCCACTAGGTCCACTCAGCCTTAAAACACGTCACTTGTTGCAAGTAGTCGTGGTGAGTGTGTGAGTGTGTGGGTGGGTGAGTGAGTGAGTGGGTGAGTGGGTGGGTGATTGAGTAGGTGGGTGAGTGAGTGAGTGGGTGAGTGGGTGGGTGAGTGAGTGGGTGAGTGGGTGGGTGAGTGAGTGGGTGAGTGGGTGAGTGAGTGAGTGGGTGAGTGGGTGGGTGATTGAGTAGGTGGGTGAGTGAGTGAGTGGGTGAGTGGGTGGGTGAGTGAGTGGGTGAGTGAGTGGGTGAGTGAGTGGGTGGGTGAGTGGGTGGGTGAGTGATTGAGTGGGTGAGTGAGTGGGTGAGTGGGTGGGTAGGTGAGTAGGTGGGTGGGTCAGTGAGTGAGTGGGTGAGTGGGTGGGTGAGTGGGGGGTGGGTGAGTGGGAGAGTGAGTGAGTGAGTGGGTGAGTGGGGGGTGAGTGAGTGGATGAGTGAGTGGGTGAGTGGGTGGGTGATTGAATGAGTGGGTGAGTGATTGAGTGGGTGAGTGAGTGAG